TGTCTACACGCGTGGCCTTGTCAAGGTCAACGGTGAACCAATGTAGAGATGGGTGGTTTGCAACTGCGTGCCACGATGGCGTGTTGAACACTGTGGAATTAGCAGGGGTTTCCGCTACGAATGTTTGTCCGCTGTCTACCTGGAACTTTGCAATTTGACCTGCCAGTTCTCCCAGCGCCGCGTTGGCAAAACAGGGTTGTTGCACAGTGCCCTGTTTCTGAGGTGGGCACAACACAAAAACATTCGGTTTGCATTCGAACATGTACTCCCAAAATTGTGCTCTGTCCTCTGGACTGTGAGTGTCCAGCGAGACTACTACGTTGAAGACCTGGCCCGACGAATCCACACAACGACGGCGAATGAGGATTGCAGCTCTCCGGGCTGTTCCTCCGCTCATTTCGCACACATCGAAATATCGGCCTGCTGGGGGGGCACATGCTTGCGCAAAATCCCCCGGGGTCCGGAAGAAACGATCCACGTTTTCCTGAAACGGTTGATCGTGAACAACGCTGGAAACGTGCTCACGAACCGTGCGAGACATGCGATGCAGTGGTCCCGTCGTGCATTCCAAGAGCAGACGATAACCATCGAAACACTCTACTAACTCGGGTCTGGTTGCAGATATGCCCGAAGAGAACACAAGAACCAACAATACCAAGTAAAACTGTTCACACATTTCGACCTGCATTTTGTCTATGTTCGTTTCGTGGTGCTGGTGCTTATGATGACGAAACAAATCCAAAGTGAGTTTTGTATCTGGCATGTGGTCTGTGCTCAAAGAGCCGCACTCACAAGTCAGTGCGTCCGGGAGTGCACAGTTGGTGAGGAGGCGGACTCGGACGTTCGAACTTTTGCCGTTTTGGCCGTGCACGACACCATAGTTACACCACCTGACAATTCGAGCTCGCACAGTGCCGTCCCGAACCAGATTCCTGATCAAAGGTTGATCGAACATTGGGTTGCCGCAGTTCCCTTCTAAAAGTACAAATCTGCCACACTGAGTTTGAATTCTTGCAAATTCAGACACGACGTTTGGGCGCGCATGGTCCAAGTTGTTACCTACGTTTGTTCCTTGTCCTACCAATTTGAACCACACTAACCAAGGTTTGAAGTCATTCATTTTCTGCAGTACGGAGTTAAAATACGTGTGATTGCTAAGTCTGGGTATGTCCATATTGACTGTCTTGATCTGACCCTGGAAGACTGCATGTGCAATGTGCTGTCTGTAACCACGCTCATCATTAAACAACCAAATTGACTCTCCATTCGCGATCGCGGCAGCTGCAGTGGCCAGTGCTCGCGAGAGCTTTTCGCATGGTTCTGGCATGCAGCTCGAATCAGACGAAATGCTAGGACAATTGGGAGGAGGAGGTGGTGTGTATATAGTTGCAAGATTAGGAGGACATTGAAGAGGTGGAGGGGGACGGGTCTCCGCTTTACCCCCGGAACGCAAGAGAGCGCAGGACCCGTCATCATGCGCATGACAGCGTTCATGGCTCGAAGTGTGCGTCTGCGCGCAAGACGGAGGTGGATTTAGATCTTGTCTCGATCCACGAAAACAGGTTTGGGAGTCTCGCTTTTCCATTTGTCACGCTAAGGAAGATTGATATGAATTCTGAACAGTCTTTGCTGCAGATGGCATACGGCTAAAACCATCACAAGGCAAAATCAAATGACCAGAAGGGGCTTTCTCGAGCTGGTGAACCCTACAACCTGGAAGCGGTTCATCATTTACTGGACCTATATAGAGTTTCCAGTGATTGGGCCTACAATCCAAAACACTATCCTGGCGCTCCAAAGTCTTCAAACCCAAAAGCCCTGGCAATGGCGAGTTAGAAACGCAAGGGGCAGTGTACGTGCTGTGATTCGAGTCTGCGTCCATGCAAACTGGCGCCTCGACTGCATCAGCTACTGTTTGTGCCCCTTTTCCTACCCCTTCGACCCCAATTGACCGTGAGAGGGGGTAGAAACGCTCCTTCAAGCCAAATGATGAAGCAATGTTGATCAGTGTCTTGACCCAATCATCCCCGCACAAATTATCATACGCACCAGGGTCCACAAGAAGACCAACTCTCCCCGAGGTCAAACGGGTTCGGAGATGTACGTTGTATGCTGTATGCTCGGTGTTGTCATGGTCTACCAACATCCATGGGAAATATCTCTGAATGTTTGGGTTCATGGGTGGTCCGCTCTCCGGAGCTCTCGGGATGTTGTCGCGTACGTTTGCTGAAAATGTTCTGATCCATTCGTTGATCTCCCTGCTGGGTGCGGTTGCTGCGCCAGCGTTGGAAGAACTCCCAGGCGTCGGCATTGTGGAGGTGCCCTCTGGGCGCAGTGCTCCACTCAAGCCCGACTCAACATCATCGCACAATGAATATGTTTGCGTTTGCGCGTGCATGTGTTGCGTGCGCTGTGCAATATGATCAAACACGTGCTCAAAATCGTGCTCAGCTGATGACGTCGCAACGTATGTGGCATGATCGATCGTCTGGACAAACATCCTTCCAGCAGGTGCCGAAGGCGCTCCTCTACTTCGATGCTCCTGGTTCTTGGGGCAATTCCGACGGAAATGATACTCGGACTCGCATAATGAACATTTCATGGTTTTACCGTCTGTTCCGATTGGGTTCTTTTTGGGATAATTCTTGCGCCAACTCTGTTTGCTCGGTCCCCTGAACGCTACCATTTGTTCTTCAATGTTACCGTCTTCACAACTACAACAAGAGTTGCACAAACATCGTGCTCCAAAAGCTTTGCCCCGATGTTTCTGGAATGCTCGGCGTGCCCCGAAACGAGTGTTCCTACTACGTTTACCCATGAATGTACGAAACCTGCGACGATTATATATGTAAGCTGCTGCTAAGTCCTCTGCTACTTTTTCATGCCCGTACTGTGACACTAAACCTGAGAATTCCTGCTCAAACTCGTTTTCGTCGTCAGATTCGGTGTCTGTGTCGAAATTGGGGTCATCAAAATACGAACATGCAAATGTAGAACCACATTTTTCACACGACCCGGGATTGCCCGACTGGGTTCCCGTCTCACTTGACGTTACCCCGGATGCCAACATTACCGGGGGGTCAGAGGTGATTGGTCCTACCTGTCCTAGTGGTTGTCCCCACTCCCCTGTGGCAGTGTGGGGTACTCCGGGGGAATCGTACATACATGTCGCACCTTGTGCGGCTACAGGATTTTGATGCATCATCATGGAGACGTTGTTTGGGCCAGTTTCTAAGAAGTGTGCTGTCTGCTTTAAGGTCTGCCGTAGACGCTTGTACGCATCATCATCTTGTGGTAGGGACCCCCCAGTCTGAGCTTGCATGAACAACTGGGGCCACAAGTGCACAGGAACTCGCAAAGCTAGCAACAGCCACCAACTCTCCCCAGGGGGGGTCATATCAAAACCAACCCCGTCAGCCCTGTACGTCAAGATGTCGAAACGAAGAATGGCCTCATCCACAGCTTCCCAATCCAGGCGTGTGAACGACATTATTTCGCTGATTGCTCGAATGCTGTGTTCGAGATCGCTTCCGCCATGTTCTTTTGACAACCTGTGGATAAGAAAACCTAGCCCAGAAACGTTCTGAGGGTCTACGCCGTCCCCAAGATCTATGACGGCGCCGTTGGTCAGAGAATCTTGGTTCAACTCTTGGGCCATAGCTCGGGCGGTACCTGTGATAGACAAAACCACTTGGTGTGCTTGCTTGTGCGCGGGGACCTCCGAACCTAAACTCCAAGTCATAACATCTTTGACCCAACGTCGAAAAGGATAAGTTGTTTCCATGTCTGGGCCCCAAGCAGGGGCTACCTTTAGCATATTAGGACCAAACCATGGGGAAGGATGCTGTGGGGTTACTCCGAAAGCTCGTGGGTAAGGCGAGGGAGGTACCACCCTGGGTGGTGCCGATCCGAACTGAAATCCCTTGTGGCTCATGGCCGTGTTGGTGACACCCAAAGGGGGTTGCCGCGGATGGCAGAGCCCTCTCCGCTACCAACTTGATCTGGGGAGATCAGTGGTTGGTTAGGCCGTGAGGCGTGCAATAGCAATGACAATGAATGGATAGCAAGAGGTAGAAAGAGAGGTGGGATTGGATATGTTTCAGTATGCAGTGCAAGTAAGACAGTAACAGTACGACAATGAGTCTGCACCACGTGGCTGCGGTACTGCTAATGCTACCCCCCTCTGCGTCACTTCCTAACTCTACTCCCACCTTATCGCGGTGACGCGGCCGTCGCCGATTCGCGAGAAGGATCCACGCGGATCGACGATGACCAAGATGGACGATGACCACGATTTGCGTCGACGCTTTCTCGTGCGTTCATTCCGTGGCCTCCGATGTTTTGTTGTTTCAGTACGGGGCCCCCAGAGCTCGGAACATTTTTCGTCCTGGATTGTTTTTGGACAGTTCTCGGGCCTGGTGAGGACCCCCGGATACCGGAACGAAGGATCGGCCATGACCAAGATGGACAATCGCCAAGATCGACACCGACATTGCCGCGTCTTCAGTCTTGGGGACGCGGAAAAAACAAACAGAAAACACTCACAACGGAATGCGGGGCAAAGAAAACACGCGGGGATGCGAGCAAGGGAATGCGGACAAGGGGAGTTGTTTTGTTCCGCTTCCGCATCCCCTTGTTCAGGATGGACGAGGCTCTCTCGCTTACATTGTTTCACGAGTTGGCGGTTCGAAATCCCACGCTTTGGACGCTCGTTCCAATCCCTGGCACTGCTGACGCAGTCGCACTCCAGACGTCTTCCCGTCCTGCTGAGCTCATTGCACGTGCCCTGAGGTATCTCTCCTTCCACCTCTGAGCTCCTTCCCTCGAGTTTGGAGGGCGGAAAGATACGGATACGTGTTGTCCCCGGACCTCTCTTGGGGTGCGTTCTGACCAGAATTTCGAGGCGAATCCAGCGGTGACAACGAGGATTCCCCAGGAGGACCAGGAAAGGCCGAAAACGAAGGGGGACAACACGTATCCGTATCTTTTTCTCCCCCGACGAGTCCTCCTCGCTCAGGCGCTGGCCCCTGCCCGAGAAGGGCTCGTACGGCGCCTGCCCTGCGCCGTACACGGGGGGCAGGTCCTGCTGGGGGAGCGATGCGGGGGGGGGGGGACCGGCTCAGGACCGGAACGCGGGGACCGAAGGCTCGAGGTTCGAGGCTCGCTCTCCCGGTCAAGCGTGCATCCCTGGGCCAAATACAATGATCCCCGGTGAACCTCCTCCTCCTCCTCCTCCTCCTCCTCCTCCTCCTCCTCCTCCAGGTCAAAACTGGCTCTCTGGGCCTTTCCTGGGGTGCGCTCCCGCACGGATCTCGAGGCGGGCCCCGCCGTGGTCGCGAGGGTGAGGGTGCCCCGGGACAGTCGAGATCCCCCAGCGAGCGAACCTCGAAGCTCGAAGCTCGAACCCGCCCTGAGCCATCGCTCGGACGTTCATTTCCCGTGCATTTTTCGGTTTCGTGCGTGTTTTTTTTGCTCGATGGTCCAGGGTGGTCCTCGATGGTTCTGGCCGAGAAAACATGCACACGTCCGAGCGATGCCAAGGCCCTGAGCCGGGCCCTGTTGCCCCTGACTCGGGCTTCGGCTTTCGACGCGCAACTCTGGCCTTGGGCGGCCGCTTAGGACGATCCGGCTATCCCTGGAACACGTTCGGCAAAGCGCATCCGCTGGAACGCACCCCGAGGCCAGTGAACCGAGAACCCCCCACTATGTCTCAAACGGTTCCCCCAAGTCGGGTGTTTATCTATGGGGGGAATACATGGCGAGGGGAAGCACGTGCACCTTTCGTGCCCCTTTAGGGCCCCCAGAAGTGCACCTGTCTACACCCCCCCAATTGATCGCACCCTCAGGAGGAGGAGGAGGAGGAAGAGGAGGAGGAGGAGGAGGAGGAGGAGGAGGAGGAGGAGGAGGAGGAGGAGGAGGAGAGGGAGGAGGAGGAGAGGAGGAGGAGGAGAAGGCGGAGGAGAAGGAGGAAGAGGGGAGGACGGAGGAGGTGTGGAGGAGGAGGAAGAGGAGGAGGCGGAGGAAGAGGACAGAGGAAGAGGAGGACAGGAGAAGAGGAGGAGGAGGAGGAGGAGGAGGAGGAGGAGGAGGAGGCTCCCCCATTGCCCGACGCCCCGGGGGCATGGACTGGGCGGCCTGGGTCCTGGCGCCTCGGGCGCCCGGCCCTGGGGACGAAGACCCAGGGCGGAGCGGGAGGGAGGGGGAAACAGGCATCTCCTCCTCTTCCTCGTCGTCCTCATCCTCCTCTTCCTCCTCCTCCTCCTCCTCCTCCACCTCCTCCTCCTCCCTGTCTCCCTGCCTCTCGGCCAGTCGCGGGGGTGGCGCCCCCGCTGGCTCTCTCTGGGGGCCGCCAAGAGGGGGGCCGTGCACGGGGAGAAGAGGGAAGATGGAGCGGGCAGAGGAAGGGAACGGAAGGAAGGGAAGCGAGAAAAGAAGGGGGGAGGAGGGGGATATCGGGATATCGGGATGAATCCAGAGTCTCACAGTGGAACGCAAAGGACTTACGTGCACATTGACACGGCCTGCACCAAGGGGCAAAGGAGCGCAAGCAAGCGGCGGGTGGCGCAACAACAGACTGCACGCGGGCTCTCCACGAAACGACACCACGTTGGGTGCCGCCCCATGCCTCCCACCAGGGACGGTCCCCAGGCGGCCTCCACGAAACGAGCCAAGGAGGAGGAGGGGAGAAGAAAAGAAGCAACTGCAGCCACATGCCAATGTGCCGTCACGGGGGTCTTCAGCCCACCGCAGCAGCAAAATTCCTAACTCCACCTCCAGCTCGCAGGGCCAGCTCGCTCGCCACCTACCATACGGTTTTCCGAGCTGCGTCCGCCCCGTAGGGCTCAGATTACGACACCATCGTGCCGCCCCAAGCCACCCGAGGGGGCGCCACTCCCCTCGGGCGACTCCGAGGAGGAGGAGGAGGAGAAGGAGGAAGAGGAGGAGGAGGAGGAAGAGGAGGAGCAGGAGGAGGAGGAGCAGGAGCAGGAGGAGAGGAGGAAGAGGAGGAAGGGAAGGAGAAAAGAAGGGAGGAGGAGGAGGAGGAGGAGGAGAAGGAGGAGGAGGACGATGAAGGCCCCCAGAGTGCACCTGTCTACACTTTCCACCCCAATTGGATCGCACCCTTCAGGAGGAGAGGAGGAAGGGGAGGAGGAGGAGGAGGAGGAGGAGCGAGGAGGAGGAGGAGAAGAGGAGGAGGAGGAGGAGGAGGAGGAGGAGTGAGGAGGGCGGAAGGGAGGAGGCGGGGAGGAGGAGGAGGAGGAGGCGGAGGAGGAGGCGGAGGAGGAGGAGGGAGCAGGAGGAGGAGGAGGAGGAGGGGGACGAGGAGGGGACGATGACGAGGCGGAGGAGGAGGCGGAGGGGACCCCCGGGCATTGCCCCGGAGGTCCGGGTTCGGCCCGAAAGCCTCGGGCGCGCCCCCCGCGGGCCCGCCGCTGCCGGCCGCGCCGCTCCCGCGCCGGGCCGCGAAGAGCCCGCGGAGCAGCTCGTGGATGTCTCCCTCGGGTGGCGGCGCGTGGGGCCCCAGGCATGCCCGCGTCCCGGAAAAGTCCTCGGCCTCAGTTCCTCGTCCTCGGCCTCGTCCTCGTCCTCCTCGTCCCTCCTCGTCCTCCTCGTCCTCCTCCCCCTCCTCATCCTACTCTCCTCGTCCGCCTTCCTCCTCCTCCTCATCCTCCTCTTCCTCCTCCTCGTGCTGTTCCCACCTCCTCCCTCCTCCGCCTCGTCCTCAAGATTCACGGTTTCACGGATGTGTCCTAAGCCCAGACGAAACCCGAGAAAGACAAAAACAGCCTGGAGGCGGCTTGCCCCCGGCACAGGCCTGCATCCCAGCGCGCGGCTGGTCCTCGCCAGCGCACGGCTGGACCCACGAGGCCCACCTCCCTGGGCGGCGCCTCGGCCAGAGCCCTCCTCAGTCCCCCTCTCCCCTGCTCCTCTCCCATACCCTCCCTTGAGAACTTGACAGGCTGCGGAAAGCTGGCCTGCTCTTGCGCTCTGCTTCTGGGGGGGGGGAGGAGGAGGAGGAAGAGGGGGAAGGTCAGAGACCCTCCACATCTACAGAAGCCAGAGGGCCCAAACATGTAAACGCACGCACGCCACACACCCACACAGACCCAATACTCGAAATGGTCCCTTACCACTTCGCTGTCTAGGGGCTGCGCGGCGCGTGGCGAAAAGCGCGTGGGCTTGCACCGCCATGGCACGAGCTCGGGCCAACCCGAGAGCGAAGGCGGTGGGTAGAGCAGCTAACACAAGCTGCTGATTCTCCTTTCTAAGAGAATAGACTCTTATCCCCCCCCGGACTTATCGGTTCCCCCTGGGATAGTACGATTTCATATATATATATACACATACATATATATATACACATATTTATATATGTATGTTTGTATGTATATATTTATATATATACTCTGCACACTCGTTCATCCTAAATATGAAATCGTACCATCCCAGCCAGGCCGGGTTCCCCCCCTGAGGTTCCCTTGTTAAAAACACTACGCGGTGACATTTTTTGTTCTAACATAACACTTGTTCACGAATCCCTTGCAAAAAAGAGACGAAGTGCGCATGCGCGCGTCGTCGCGCGCGCATGTCGAAATCCTTCAAAAACCTTCGGGCCGGAAGGATTTCGCAATCGAGTCTCCAAAAAACATACAAAAACACATGGTTTCGCAACACTGATTTGCTAAAAAAGCTTCCGCGCGAGCTCTTGCGACATCTTAAGAAAAACCATGGGTTTTTCACCACATGCTATCAAATGGGCTTCGCGCGCGCATGTCGAAATCTGTCGAACGCCCTTACGCGTGTGCCGTCGCGAGAATCCTCTGCAACAAATAAGACGAAGTGCAGACGCGCGCGTCGTCGCGCGCGTATGCCGGAATCGTTCAAAACCCATCGGCATCGGTTTCGGAAGGATTTCAAAATCGTGTCCAAAAAACTTACAAAAAAACCCAAGGTTTCGCAACGCGGATTTTCAACAAAAGCGTGCGCGCGCGGTCTTGCGTCGTCGTCGTCGTCGTCGTCGTCGTCGTCGTCGTCGTCGTCGTCCTCCCTCCTCCCGCGTCGTCGTCGTCGTCGTCGCCTACGTCGTCTTCCGTCCTTCCTTGTGTTCGTCGTCATCGTCCTCTTTGGCGTCGTGGTCGTTTCCGTCGTCGTTGTCGCCGTGGTCGTCCTTCCTCCTCCTCCCTTGTCGTCGTCGTCGTCGTCCGTCGTCGGCGTCTCGTCGTCGTCCTTCCTATTTCGTCGCCGTCGTCGTCGTCGTCGTTGTCGTCTTCCCTCCTCCCTCGTCGTTGTCGTCGTCGGCGTCGCCGTCCTTCCTC